CATTTAAATCATGTTTTCCTCAGCAGTAAACAGTACATCAGAAATGTAAAATAACTATGGGACAATAAATAGAAACAGTGCATAATAAAGCCAAGGTTTATAAAGCCATTTGTAAAGAGAAAAATAGCAGCCAGTAGCTTTTTAAATATATAGGCACAAAAAACTCCTAAGTTTGGAATCAGCTGTTGTGATCTAAGAAGCATATGCATGGCTGCAACCCTTGTGAGAATGATGCAGCAGCTTCCATAGTTAGAGCTCCATATACTGTACACATAAATGTGGAACAGGATAAAAGCCACTAGGTCATAAAGCCTAAGGAAAACCATTTACAAAATAGGTGTATTAGGAGCTAATATCTTTTTAAATTTTTTTTAAAGGCCTGGGGAAATAAAAGCATGTTTAATGGTGCCAAAAAGACTTTCCTCTGGTAATTGGCATAGAATTTGACTTAATCCAGTGCTTATTTGATGGACCAGGCAGTGACAAGCATGGTGACTCATGTCAATGTAATTAATATTGGGTAAGAAGGATGTGCAGCATTCTCCTTTGGGTATTGAAACTTTAAATCATACACCCATACTTCTAAAATATGGTATAGCGTTACATCAGCCAATGCTAGTTCCTACACAGAGCAGTCAAATAATGGGATGACTGAAGCTCTGAGGTTGCGGCACTTGTAAATCCGTTCTTTCAGAGTTTGGAGATAAGGCTGCTTGATTGGTTACAGCTGTAGAACAGCTCCAGGCAGTCAATCTGGCTTGTGAATTACTGCTTCTACCAGAGGTGACTGCAAACAGGACAGGAAGCTGCAATTAAGAAGGGAAGGAAGGTGCGAGAGAGTGGCGGGTGGTTTCATCAGAAAATGGAGGGATGGAGGAGTGTGTGTATGAGAGAGACTGACTCAAAACTGAAAAAAAGGAACAGGCAAACAGGATGGAAAGCTTGAATTAAGGGGGGAAGGGTGGCTTCATCAGGCTTGTTTAAATGTATGTAGAAAATGGAGGCTGGGTGGGTGGGTGTATGAGAGAGAGAGAGACTCAAAACTACAGTGGAACCTTTACTTACGAACGTCCCCTACTTATGAACATTTCAACTTACAAACAGCACCGTTGGCAAAATTTTGCTTCTGCTTACAAACAGAGCTCCAACGTACGAACAGAAAAAGGCAGGGGAAAAGGGTGGGAAATTTAAATTTGCTAACCATTGGTGGCAAAGAGGCTGCTTTTTTGTAGCTCTTTCACCCCAACAGTTAGGGAAAGGGAGGCTCAGCCTCCTGGGCTTCCGATGCCGCCGCAATCGCCACCTTTGGAGACCTCCCAGGGCTTCCCCACCACCATGGGAGACCTCCCAGGGGCCCCCTGCTGCCGCGATCGGTGCCTTCAGAGGATTCCCAGGGCTTCCCCGCCTCCATTGGAGACCTCCTGGGGGGTCCCCCGCCACCTCGACTGCCACCTTGGGAGGCCTCCCAGGGCTTCCCCACCACCATGGGAGACCTCCCAGGGGCCCCCTGCTGCCGCGATCGGTGCCTTCAGAGGATTCCCAGGGCTTCCCCGCCTCCATTGGAGACCTCCTGGGGGGGTCCCCCGCCACCACGGTTGGTGCTTTTGGAGGCCTCCCAGGGCTTCTCCACCCCAACACAGGCTTTCCACGGCTGGTGCTTTTGGAGGCCTCCCAGGGCTTCCCCACCCCAACACAAGCTTTCCTGGGGTAGACAGGGCCTACCAGGGCCTACTCTAGTGTAATTTAATATGCTAAGCAAAGGATTTCAGCCACAAATTTTTAAATAGCTACAGTAATTTGCAGCCTGTTTTTCAGCACAGTTCCAAGTGCATGGCTTAGGACCAGCATATCTGTAGAAACTACTGCCTCCTCACTGAGACCATTTTTCAAGGTTTTCTCATTGTGAGGGTCAGGTCAGGGGTGGGGGAGAGGTAGCAGTGGGGAGAGGGCTTTCTCAATGGTGACATCCATTTTTGGTGTTTTTTTCCTTCTGGGAGGTTCGATAGCTATTGTGTTATCTGTCAATAGATCACTTTTTCCTACCCTATTTCCCCAAAAATAAGCCCTACCCTGAAAATAAGCCCCAGTTAAGTGAAACCCCACCCTCCACCATTGTGTAGCAACCAGAAGATGAAATGACTGCAATTGAATAAATATAGATTGTTGTACATGAGAAAAAAAATAAAGCATTCCCTGAAAATAAGCCCTATTGCGTTTTTTGGAGCCAAAATTAATATAAGACCCTCTCTTATTTTTGGGGAAACATGGTAGGCTTTTAACTGTACTATTTTATTGCCAAATTCATTATTAATTGAAAAGTATGGTAGTAAGTTATTGTATTCTGCTTTGCTTTTTTTATACAGTATTAGCAACCTAATGTATCTAAGAATTGAATTTAAAAAATCCTATGCACTGATATCACTGGGAGTCACTAGATAGTCAATAATGTGAACAGCAACCTGTGAACCAGGTATTTGCACATGCACTAGCCAGGAAAATACATCTTTGTAGTTGCAAATATTACTGTTGCCACCCTGCACCTTTTATATATGTTGACCTGGTTTAGATGGACTGCTTTTTCCTACTGATTGCCATGGTTTGGAACAATGCCTTTCAGTAGACAGAACTGTTATTGAATTAGAAAAAAGCAGGGAGAAATATGGTAAAGATTTAAATACTTCAGTTTGCCCTTTACTGTTGAAACTGGTCATTAACTATATTTGATTATTCAAAAAACCTTCTGGTTTATGAATGTGGGATATTGTGCTTCTGCACCATGATTTAAAAAATCCAGGAAATGGCCTTATATTGCTGCACAATATTTTGCCTGCATTGTCAGCAGGAAAAAAAAGATGCTACGCTTTACATAGCAAAGGGCAGCCTGAATGTTGACAACACCAATGGCAGCAAGTCAAGATGGTCTACAGGATACCCTCCTCTACTCCCTACCATTCACACTAGTGGAAAAACAGCCCTGACAATTGCTTTGTGTTTGGGTGAGAAGTAGTTAGCCAATGAAAAAAGGAGTCAGCTTCTGAGATTTACCACCAGCATGCTGATAAAACCCAACTCTCTGTTTTTTAAAGATCTTCCAGGAGGTCCTTCTCTCAGGTTCTCAGAGCCCAGTGTGTGGTCATGTGGACCCCCTCCACCATGAAATATGTCCTTTAAATGTAATTTTGCCTTCAGGTCTCATTTAATCCAGACTCAGCCTTTTTTAGAAATTGGAAATGACCAGTCTGCCACTTCCTATTTCTGACAAGTCAGGGTGCATGTGTTGCATTTAAATGGCAAATGGTTATCTCAGGGTTTCTGGGAGAAGTGAAAAATTGAGAGGCTGTGTTGCAAGCTACCAAACATCCATGGGTGAGGGTGGGAACCAAGGTTTTTTACACCCTCAGTTGGATGGTTGTCTGTTATAAAGCATATTCAAAGAATTGGAAGTTGTGTGTTTCTGGAGAATACTCATAAGCAGATAACCATTCATCTTTCTTTTGCTTATCCATCTATGACTTTTTCTCAGTAATCATGTTACTTGAAACATCCTTAGAAGTGCTGTGTGTCAAGAATTTATGAGATCCTCTTTAGTGATCTGACAATCATGATAGTGGGTATATACTATTCCTTAAAAGTGACCATTTGCAGGCTTGTGAGTACATTGATATTCTCAACATTGAATCTTTCTGACATGCCTAGAAGGTGGATAACATTGCCCTGTAGGTGGAAAAGCAAAAAATTTTCAACCTTCTGCACTAACAGACCTCATCAAAAGGAATTGTGTTAGTTCAGTTTTCTGAATTGAGAACTCATTTGTTCAAGGAAAAAGTTTAACTTCTTGATTTGATGTTCATTCACGAATACTGTTGTTTTTAACTGAATATTTAAATCAAAGAAACAGAAAACACACAATGACCATAAGGTTATCTGAGTGAGTGAGCTTCTGAATATTATTATCTATTTTTTTTAAATTTCCTTTTAAATATTTTCCAGGCTGGAGTTAAAAAAGATTGGCCAGGAAGGAGTTAAATGCTTTCTTTCCCCTTGAATGCCATGACAGGATTAAAAGTGACTGACTTGTAGCATCTGCCTTGTATTGCTGCCTGGCTGACTCCAGGCTCATTCTGATTGGTCAGAATGCCATGCTATGCAAATAGTTCAGCCAATTAGAATGTTTGCAAGTTATAAAAAAGCAAGTAATTTCAGAGCTTTTCAGGTTTCAAAAGCACTCATTTAAAAATTTGAATTAGAGTTATGAATGGCTCAATTTCTGTGAAAGAAAAACGTGGAGTTTTTTCCCTCCAGGTAAGCAAATTTTGTCTTATTAATGTATTTCATCTATTTTCAATCAGCTGCAGCTGATTGGTCATTTGGTTCTGCTCAGGGTAAAAACAGTGTTACATTAAAAAAAAGATAACTCAAAAACCCATTGCCTAAATGTCCACAAATTTGGCACAGTGCAAGACCAGACATTCTGCTACATCCATGCCAAATTTGGTGCTATTCTGAGACCCAGTGTCATAGTTACAATTTTTTATTTGGGGTATCCCTATTTTTTATTTGGTTTATGGAATGCTTTCTGCTACGAAGAGCACAATATATGCGTGCAACCATAATTAAGAGTTGCCCTCCCCTGCTTTGGTATTTTACTTTGTGGCTTATATGGAGAGTCTGTACCCTTGACTGCAAGCTGAAAAACTTAACTACTTTGGTTCGTTGAAAAGGGGGATTTGTTCAAAAACCTTTAAATCCGATACCTTAGTGACGAATCTAATTTGACTTTTCTCTCCTGAAAACATTAGTCTGTACAGATTTCTGTAACAGTATATCTTCTTCTTTTGAAGTTGACCAAAAGGCTCCCTTTCTACCCGAGTGTTACTGTTCTGCCCTTTGTTTGGAAGAGAGGCACTTGGTTGTTTCAGCTGAGCCTTCCAATATGTGATATGTGGTGACTGAGCTCTCTTGAGGATACAAGTCCAGCATCAGCTTCCTGAATTGCCATCTCAGGTAGCAAGGAAGGAACAGAACTAAAGCAGGCATCAGATTGCAGTGACTGGCAGCCATTAAAACATCTGCCTGGCTCTGTGTTGTGCTTTCTTATATAACCATGCACAACTGTGTGCAAATTGTTCCGTATATAAACAGTGTTTCTGTGAATTGAAACCACCTGCTTCAAATGGTACTTTAGCAAGCTGTCTTTCTCAGTTTTCTTTGTGGCAAAACAAAAGAAATCCCACATTAACTTGATCAGAATATTGAGAAATATATTTAAAAATAAACATAAAACAAGCATCCCTCTTACTTGGGGGTGTAAAATTTCCTTTTAGTTTTGCCAAGGGGTACCTACAAAATTGTTAATTTTTTAAAAATCAGATGAATAAAACTGTTATGTAAGTTTTGGGTGTTGCTGTCTGGTTTATGTTTGGATGGCCATCATTCCAGAATGCTTCAGTAATTAATTTCCTGTGAGATGGGGGGAGAATGGACATTTGATCTCTCTATAGTTCTGATTCTGTGAACATGTACAAGAAATATTTTAAAAGGGTACAAGCACAGTGGTCATGGCACCGAAAAAACTGACCAGTTTTTGAAGTAAATAAATTGACAGCAACATTCACATGTGCTGAAATGATAAGGATTAAAGTGATACATGATTGGTACATTTTAAAACAACCATGCCAGTGAGGTAGGAAAATATCAAATAAATGTTACCCATGTGTCAGGTGAATGGAAAGATATAAAACAATTTAAATAACAGCAGAATCAATATAACGGGGGTTCTTTTGGCATATGTAATTGAACTCTTAGTCTGGTATAAACTGTTTTGGGGGCCTGTAGAGCAGAAAACTAGTGAGCAAATGCTTGAATTAAGAAAAAATAAATAAATTTAATTGCCAGTTTTTTTGATTCAAGGACACCATATTTCTGAGTGCATCTACTCCAAGCCAAGATAGGCGCCATGTGCTTCACTTAAAGGCAATGGAAGGTTTAGTGACTAACTGGTATCCTTACATGTATAGAAATGGAGAAAGTCAACTGACTCCTCATCCTCTGAGGTGATATTATTACCACACCACAAACAGATTTTTTGCTGTCTCCACCTTGGAACTTTAAGTACACATCCTGACATTTCAAAATCTAGTCGGGATGACTTTTTGACTCTTTTGCCCACCTCTGACCCAGCTCTGCAATATCCAGCTTGATGAAGAGTCTTGCGAGACTTAAAAGCTTACCCGTTTATGAGATATTTTGTATGTATGTATGATGTGCTGTTAAGTCAATCGTAATTTCTGGCAACAATAGTACCAGTGCAACCCTCTTGTACATTTTCATGGCCAAGTAGGCATTTTAACCCAGGTCTTCAGAGTCCTAGTCCAGCACTCAATACTACATTGTCTCTTGTAATGACATTATGAGTGCCAGTGCTTTCATTTAAAATAAATTGAAATGAGCATTGCTGCTTCTGAAACTTATGTTTCATCAGTGGCAAATGTGCAGTACTTTTGTTCTGTACTTTTCCACTTCCTTATTATCAGAGGCAGACTACATCAAATTATCTAAAATCAAGAAGTTTATTTTAGTGGGGAGCTTCAGCAACCTACAGCCACCCCTTTTCTAGCCAAATGCCTCCAACCTCTCCTCATTGGCCTACAGGTCTGTGGGGGTGACACATCACTTTGGGGGCCAATCCTGAGGCCGTGTTCTGATCATAGGGGGCCCCGGTGTCTATGAACTCCTCCTATAGGCCCACGGTGGCCTCACCAACCCCCTAAAGCCCCGCCTACCCAGGAGGAGGGCCTAAGTAAATTCTTGACCCTTTGTCCCACCTCACAGGGGCAGTGCACCTGTCAAAAATGATTGTGATGAATGCTAGGCAGTATTACTACTCATGGTTGTCCTAGCTTCACAATTCAGGCATTGAGAAAAAGTTATGATAGCTCAGGAGTTTAGGTATTTGGCTGCAGAGCCCAAGGTTGAGAGTTCCATTTCCCACTGGCTTAACTCTATGATCCACAGAGTCCCTTCCAGCTATGCAGTTCAAAGATGATGATGATTATATGAAACAAACAAGAAAAAGCATGCAATTTCCCACCAGTGTTTGTGAAGCAATATACAATGTTGGCCTTTCCCATATACTGGCTCGTGAACGTGTGCTAGGAGTTCATCCTAGGAAGAAATAAACCAGAGCCTTTGTACAGAATCCAAGGCCATTGTCACTGGGGTGCCAATTGTAGAAATCCCCCCCCCCTTTCTCTCCTTCTAGCCAGACCTCTTGCTGAGGTGGCATAACTTACTGATGGACAGGTGCTGGGTAGTTTTTTCTTTGCCAGCGTCCATCAAGTGGAATACTTTTCTGGCATGTCCAGAAAAAAGTGGCCTTGGCAAAGCCCCTCTCAAAGTAATTACTATTCAAAGCAGTGCTGCACTAAAGAACAAGACTTTTGTAGTTGCTGGAGGGCTCAGTCGTGAAGATACAGTAGAAACATCTGAAACAGAAGCAGATACTAATAAAGCACACTCTAGTTCACACCATGCTAGAGCAGTAGTAATGCAAACTTGATACATTACACACTATTTTTTTCCCCTCTGGTGATGACTGTAATTTCTATCAGGCTAGGCATAGCAAGAAAACAAGGTTTTCCTTTAGTGCCATTTTCTCTCTCAAACCCATTGGATAACCAAATGGCATCTGCAGAGTCTACAACATGCCAAAGGCAGACACTACGAACAAGGGATGTTCCACAATATCTGATCAGATGCCATGATAAGAAACATGTAGACCAGATAGGCGGGGTATAAATCAATCAATCAATCAATAAATGAATAAATACAATTAAACACATCTATTTAGAAGATGGGGTCTTGTCTTACTAAGTGCTTACTTTATCAGCCAATAAGGTGGCAACAGAAACACTCCAGACTGTTATCCTTCTCTGAGTCTTGAGAAGCCTCATGATTACAACCCCAACTTGGGAAGGACAGGTACCTAGTACCTGCCTTTGGTTTTCAGTGGACAAGGGGGTCTTACTACCCTTTCAAAGTTGGAATGTACAATTTACTATGAGCAAGAACTCCTAAGTTGTCTTATTTAGCAACTGGTCAGTTTGACTGTCTCTATGATTTTCTTCCATCATCAATCCCATTTTCCTTAGGGGGTTTTGTTTCCCTTGGACTTCATCTCCCCACAAGCCTTAATTGTTCTTGTACCCTGTTTCCCCGAAAATAAGACAGGGTCTTATATTAATCTTTACTCCAAAAACCACATTAGGGCTTATTTTCAGGGGGTGTTTTATTTTTTTTTCATGTACAACAATCTATATTTATTCAAACACAGTCATGTCATCTTCTTCTGGTTGCAGCACTGTGGTGGAGGGTGGGATTTCACTTAACTGGGGCTTATTTTCAAGGTAGGGCTTATATTACAAGCATCCTGAAAAATCATGCGAGGGATTATTATCAGGTTAGGTCTTAATTTAGTGGAAACAGGGTACAGTGGTGCCCTGCTTGACGATTACCCCGCTCCACGACGAATCCGCTTTACGATGAGGTTTTTGTGATCACTATTGTGATCGCAAAACAATGTTTAAATGGAGAAAATTCGCTTTATGATGATTGGTTCCCTGCTTCGAGAACCGATTCTTCGCTAAACAATGATTTTAAAACAGCTGATTGGCAGCTCTCAAAATGGCTGCCCGCTGTGCAAAATGGCTCCCCGGTGTGTTTAGGACGGATTCCTTGCTTAACAGGCACCGGAAAATGGCCACCCTGTGGAGGATCTTCGCTGCACGATGAGGTATTTCGCCTATTGGAACACACTGAACCGGTCCCATGGCGGCCTCAAAAAGTGATTTTGATGAACTTTAAAGGCTATGAAATTGCGTTCTACAGCGTTTTTGCTGGAATGAATTATCATCATCAAGCGATGCACCATGGTATATGTCTCCATGCCAGTAGTAATACTATCTCTAACTGAGGGCACGCTCTGGTCACAGGCCCCCACATCTATGAACCCCTCCTATAGGCCCATGGCGGCCTTAACAACCCCCTACATCCCCCTAATGCCCTGTCCATCCAAGAAGAGGGCCCAGGTCAATTCTTTACCCTTTGCCCCACCTCACAGGGGTGGCACACCTGTCAAAAGTGATTTTGATGAACGCTAGGTAGTATTACTACTCATGCTTAACATATATATAAATAAATATAATGATGAACTGAGTGAAATTAAGCTGGGTGTTTAATTACTATTTTACTTTATGTGTAGTGTTCTATGGCTTATGCTGTTGTGCCACCACCTGAGTAATATGTAAAACTTGTATCTGCACTATACCATGTCAGACAGCAGGTAAGAGCCACCCAAATTAATTTTCTACTCCTACCAAGTGTATAACAACAACAACTGAAATGATTAAGAGGCAAGTAAAGGCTATGAAAAAATTGAGTGCACCTGGTCTAGATGAGCTGCACGGATTCTGGCTAAAGCATCTAACAAGCCTCCATCAATGTATAGCAGTGCAATTTAACCACTCACTTCAAAATTCTACAACTGAAGTCTGGATGATAACAGGCTGCACATTTCTGATAATAAAAGATCATCAAACGGGCAATGAACCCAGTAATTATCGACCAACTACATGCCTTCCAACAATGTTCAAGCTCCTCACAGGAGTACTTGCAAGATCAATACATAATTACTTAACTGCAAACTCCCTATATCCAATTGAACAGAAAAAGAACTTTAAAAAGTCAAGAGGCACAAAAGATAACCTACTTATTGATAAAATTATACTGAAGAATGCAAAAAGATGAAAAACAAAGCTTAACATGGCCTGGATAGAGTATAAAAAGGCATTGGTCTCATTGCCACACAGATGTATTAACGCCCACCTAAACAATGTTTGGGATTAGTAAAAGCATTCAGAAGTTTGTAAAAAAAATTTAAATGGAAAATTGTCTTAATGGCCCATGGTGAAGAAATTGGGGAAGTTAGCATCCAAAGAGGAATATTTCAGGGGGGTTCTTTGTCACCGCTGTTGTTTAACATCTCACTCATTGTCTTGTCAATAATTTTAAATAAAACTGGATTGGACTACCATATTTCACAACAAGCTGGAAAAATCAATCTCTTATACATGGATGGCCTAAAATTATATGCAAAAAGTTCCAGAGAGATAGAATCACTGCTACACACAGTGCAAATATTTAGTGAAGATATCCAAATGAAATTTGGAATTGACAAACTGTGGCAAGATCCAAAAACTAGATAGAATAGAGTTTTAAAAATGGCAATATTATAAAATCACTTTCAAGTTATGAAAATTATAAATATCTTAGAATACTAGAAACAGATAACATTGTGCACCCAAAAGTTAAAGAACTGACAGAAAGGGAATATATCAAAAGACTGCGGAAAATCTTAACATCAAAATTAAATGGTGGAAATACAATCAAAGCCGTAAACACATGTGCATTTCCAGTAATTAAATACCCAGCTGAAATAATAGATTGCACTCAAAATGAATTAGAACTGAATCGAAAAACACAGAAACTAATGAACATGCATCACACACTACATCCAAACAGTGATGTGGATTATATTTACCATGAAAAATCTGAGGCCATGTATTACTGCAAATACAGCAGGTAGAGGAGGGAAAAAAAAGCCTAAATGATTATATCAGTACAAGCAGAGAACAATTACTGAAAGCAGTGAAAATGGAGAACATTTTGAAGATAACAGAAACAAAGGCTAAATATAAGAAACAACAATTTGAAAATAAATTAAGCAGCTGGAAAAAATAAATCATTACATGGACAACACCTGAGAAATTTTGATGGAAAGCATGATCATAATTCAACATGGGCATGGCTAAATCCAGGGACCCTTAAGAAAGAAACCAAAGGCTTGATTTTTGCTGCACAAGAACAAGCACTGCAAAGCAATCTGATGAAAGCTAAGATCCAAGGAATTAATGCTAACAGCAAATATTGATTCTGCCAAAAAAAGAGATGAAACTGTGTCACACCTCATCTGTGAATGTCCAAAGACTGCACAAACAGATTGCAAAGTTAGACATGATAGAGTGGCAAAATTCGTGCACTGGTCATTACGCAAACAATATAACTTGCCAGCCTCGAAAAACCCATGGGAACATCAGGTAGAGAAGGTGTCAGAAAATGAAGACGTCAAGATCTTGTGGGATTTCCGGATCCAAACTGATAAGACACCATGAACATAACACACAAGACATAGTTGTAATAGAACAAAGAAATGTCTGAGTCATTGACATTGCAATTCCAGAGTTGAAAATAAAGAATTGGAAAAACTAACAAAGTACAGAGACCTGGCAATCGAAACATCTCACCTCTGGAAGAAACACACTTCAGTGGTCCCCGCTGTCTTTGGGGCTTTGGGAAGAATATCAAGAAACTTCACCCAGTACTATAAGCAGTTGCAGATCTCAGAAATGACACCATCAGAGCTACAAAAAATGGCAATATTAGGAACAGCATACATACTGCGCCAATATTTAACATATACTTAGCTTTTTGGTTAAAACTTGTATCTGTTTTAACCAAGTCAATGTTTTTTATAATGTGGTTGATGTTTTTGGCGGCGGCGGCAGCAGCATCAGCAGTAGTAGTAGTGTTTGTCAAGTTCAACTTATGGTGACTAGAGATGCACATAAACTGCCAGTTCAGTGGTTTGTGCCATGTCAAGTCCAACTTATGGTGACTAGAGATGGGCATAAACTGCCAGTTCAGTGGTTTGTGCCACTTTGTCCTTCAGATGAACAGGTGTTTGGCGCTTCCCAGCTCTGCCTCCTCTAGCAGGCACCAACTAAGAGGCAGTGCCTGGAGGAGGCGTGAAACTGGCTTGCTGCCTCTGACTGAGCACCCACTGGAGGAAACAGGGCTGCAAAGCACCACCAAACACCTGTTAATTTGAAGGACAAACTGGCATGATCTGCCAAACATGCAGTTTGGGCCCATCTCTAATGGTGAACATTTTGAGGGTTTTCTAGGTAGAGAATACTTAGTTTATCAGTCCCTTATTTTGGATCAGTCTGGGACTATGCAGCTTGCCCATGCCTACACAGACTGTCTCTTCTTCTAGGAAGCACAGTGGGGAATTGAACTCCCAACCTCTGGCTCTGCAGCCATAGACCTAAACCACTGAGTTATCCAACTTATAGTGATCATTTCCAGTTTTCCAGGTAGAAGATGCACAGAAATGGTTTACCATTCCTTCCCTCTCCTACATCATAGGTGGTAAACCAGGACAGGTTTATCATTTCAGTGAGAGCTGGGCCTACATTCCTGCCTATTTACTGCCTGTGTTCCAGAAAACTAGATATGTACAGTATTTTCTTCTAACCAATATCTTTAATATTGAATGGAAGAGCTAATTTCCATCTTATATATTTGCACTTTCAGATTTACGCTTGTAGGCAAAAATTCATGCATTCTCCAATGCATACTTCTTTGTTCTCATATAAAAATGTACTCAGATTTGAGGATTTGCAGGCATATCTATCTATCTATCTATCTATCTATCTATCTATCTATCTATCTATCTATCTATCTATCTATCTATCTATCTATCTGTCTGTCTGTCTGTCTGTCTGTCTGTCTGTCTGTCTGTCTAATAATTATGGCCATTCTTACATTGTAAAATGCACAGATCCTCAGTCACGGGTATGGGTGACTGTGTATGAAAATGTAGCACATGAATCATCCCTCAGAGGGATTTAATTTGGGAGCCTGTATGGTTTAAAAAGACACATTATTTGAACCTCTCAGACATTTAATGCTGTTGCAAGCAAAACAGAATTCGATTATACCAAATATTAAAATAAAACAAAACAGTATGGGTTTAAAATGTAAAGAATGTAAGTAAAAAAAAATATCTCAAACACTCCCCCACACTAAAACGTTAAGCCATTTTTAACACCTTAAACAAAAGCCCCTTGATTGGATTTATGCTAATGGATCTCCTGTAGGCATTTCTAATTCATTTACATTTCATTTTAAAATTGCCTGTGTGTTTCCAATTCAGACTAACACCATTAACAGACAAAATGAATGTGTAACAGGTCAAATGCCACAAGATGGCAATAGTTGAAGAGCAATTTGTTAAAAGAAGTAAAAAGGTGGATACGCCAGTGAGAGTCAGCTTCAGAGTGGATCTTACAGAAAGGAAAGGTCTGCTCTGTGGTCGCATTACTTATGTGGTTCCTATGATTTGCTGATAAGAGAGCACTTCCTATAATTATATGTATTTTTATTTTCTGTACAGATAGGAAAAAGGTGAAGAATGTGTCAAAGATGAATGGCTGAGGAATGAACTACGTCACAGTTGTGTAAATTGTAAACTCTGTTACTAAAAGAATGTAGTATCAAAGTTGCATGTGAAGTATGGGGCATGAGAAAAATCAAATTGCATGTACTTTAATGTAAATACCTGGAGTGCAAAACAGGAAATTTGTTTCTCATGGATGTCTGTTTTTGTAAGGTCTTTGCTGGAGCAACTGTTTTTACAATTTGGAGGTGTGAGTTCTGAAATTGTTATTGAAATGCACTCTTTCTCAGGTTCCTTTGAAAAAAAGTTTTAGAACTACAGTTTATTCAGCATGAAATTGTCAGGGTGTTCTAAGACGTGGTTAGGATAGGATGCAAAATTGCACTAGCCCTATTAGGTTAGCAACTCCAATTCAAATGTACTCTTCTTGACCTTAAATGTTGTTACAGCTGGCCTGGAATACCTGAAGAAACACCTCATCCTGCATGCGCCCTCTGGTGGATTATGGCAGCTTCAGAGGGAGCTCTGCTTCAGGTGTCTACATTCTGTGACGTCAGATGTATTGGAATGAGAGGTAGGGATCTCTGTCTGTCTAGCCCTTCAAGGGCCTCCTAAGGACTGGTAAAGGCCTCCTTATTTACCCTTTGAATATTAGGCATTCCAGTTTATTGGCTTTTGATAAACTAAACTTGTTTCATTTGTCACTTAAAAAAATGTTTTATGCGTTGTCTTGCTTTTCCTGTGACAAAAACCTATTTTCGATAAGACACTAAAGATTTTTAATAAATGTATTAGTAAGAAGATTAAAAATAATATCTCTAGTTCAGAACAGATGATGAAGCCCACATGGTGTAGTGGATAGAGAGGCAGATTTCGAAGATCTGTGTTCAAATCCCTGCTCAGCCATAGAAATTCAGAGCAGGTGGAGGTTTGGCCCTGTAAAACCACTCCTTAAGAATTTCACGTACCCTGAAAACCCTATTAGGGTTGTAATAAGCCTGATATGACTCAATGGCACATACCAGCAACAACAAATAGGTGGTGTATAGTGGACTGAAGGAGGAGACCTGCTGAAATCAAGGAATAGCTTGCAGGGACAGTCATTCTGGCAAGACTGCTTTGGACTCCAGCATACAAGGGAATGTGTGGCCCACCAGATATTGTTCCAGATATTGTTGGGCTAAGGCTCACATTGTCTTTTACCATTGAGCCTGTTGTCTTGTGATGATGGGAAACAGAGTCTAAAACACACTGGGAGTCATAGTTCCCTATCCATTATTTCACTACTTATCTGGAAGTTGAGTCACGGCAACTGGATTTCTTTCTTGTTAGGTTCAAACATTTTACTGCTCATCCAAGTAAGCTTCTTCAGTCTGAGGAGAGTTGATAGGAGACCTCTGATATAACCTTGATGTTGGTTTCACTTTCCCCAGGTCTGAATAGGCTCCTTAGATGGACAAAGGACTGGGGGTGAGGGATAATCCCAATTATGCAGTCCTTCTCCACCCATTGTCATGGGTCATTAACAGCGGTGTTTCTGGTGTTTGTGGTCCTAATCTTTCTCGGGAGGGATGAAAGGGCAGCATGATAAATAGGAAACAGATTGTATTTAAGGCCTCCACCCCTGTTGAGTGACGGATTTCCTATATACACATGCATGGCTTCCCTGACCCTTCTCTCAAACAACCTATCTTCTTAATCCAAAATTAGTACATCTTGGTCATCAGTGATGAAAGTCCTTTGTCCTTCTAACAAGCTTATTCAGACCAAGGGGAAGTGAAACCAATGTGGAGTTTATATCAGGGATCTATGAACTCTTCTCAGACTGAAGAAGCTAATTGGATGAGTAGCAAAACATTTCACCCTAATAAGAAAGAAGTCCAGTTGCCATGACTAAACTTCCAGATAACCACATCTGGATGACTTAGAATCTTCACAGACTACTTATCGTATGCTCTGTTTTTCCTATGCCTTTGCAAATTTAATTGAATTTGTATTCCTCCCTACACCCCTTATCATTCCCTTTATCATCCTCCTTATTCTATGCCTCTTTTCTTTTGAAATTTCTATTGCTCAGTCCTCAATACCTCAGGAAAGAAAGTTGTCTGAAAGATCTTTTGTGAGGGCTGAAACTGTTTGCACTTCTGATCTGAAAATTGTCATCTTCTTCACTCCGGGATCAGGTCAGTGGCAGAAGGGTGATCCAAGATGAGGTTGCTCTTTGCTGCACTCCCAAGGTCAGGACAGAACTATCACAAACAGTGGTGAAAGAGGAGGGGGAATTTTTATAAAGCCCAGATACGTAAGAATTTCATCCATGGCCAGCTCTATGTTTGACAGAGTAAGGTGGTTGTTTAAGACAGCTGATCTGCAGTGTCACGAGAGGGCAATCTCTATGATTTATTTACTTATTCATTGCTTTGGGTCCCCTCCCCTTCCTCCTCTGAAGGTAAGAAATAGGTGATTGTGGGGTTTTCTGCCTCAGAAGATTTTATACATACTCTAAATAACAAAATAACTTTATTTCTTACTGTGTGAAACATAGTATACATCAATGGTGCTATATAAATAGCCAATAATAACTCCAAACTGTTTATATTATTTCCAAATTAATTATTTATTATTTTATTTTAATTTTTTATGTTGTTTTGGTGTATATTTTACTGTGGCCATTTTGCTTTAATTTGTATTGTAAACTGTCTTATGATAAATTGTTATTGCCTTCAATAAGTTTAATGTCAATTTCAGATTTAACATGTACATATGGGTAAGGAGGGAATGAAAAGCAGATGCAAACATAACTTACAAAAAATGTGTGTCTGAGATCTCTAGCTTGATGAATGATCACAGCAATGATCCACTGGTCCAAAGTTAAAATCTGGTCATATACTTTTTGATATGCAAAGAAATGGTACAGGTGTTCCAAGCATCTTTTGAAGACTATAATTCACAGAAACCTATGGGAATACCTTACATTGTAAAACCAGTACAGGTTTAGGAAAAGGTGGGTTTCAAGTTCACATTACTTTATTAAACTACTTTGTGATAACTAATTTGTTCTTAAGAAAGCAAGATGGAGCAGAGTACGTGCCCTAATTTATTACCTAAAGATAATAATTTGTGTAGACAGATGCTGCTGATTAATTGGTCTGAGTTAATGACTATGTAAGAGTACTCCTTGAGCAGCAGCTAATTGTAATAGTTCTGAAACAAGTTTACCTTCAGTAGTAGGGCATTATTTACATGTTCAGATGACTTTTGGTGTTGTTACCATTGTTTAGTTTTCACATTTTTATATTCTGTGGCTTATGAAGCATGTAAGTGTATAAACAACCGTACAGAGCTTTTAAAACAACAAACAAACAAACAAACAACAATAAATACAGAGCTTTTAAAACAACAAACAGACAAACAACAATAACAAGAGTTTCTGCTCCAGAAAACTCATAGTCCAGCTATCTCTTACTCAAAACTAAGTGCACCTTGTCAGGTCCCTGTTTAAGAGGTGCTGTTTTTTATTTTTTGTTTTGGTCGGGTAGGATCCCTCTGTTTTGGTTTGGTTCTAGCATGTGTGATCGTTGAGATCAAACCGGATCATGTTACCAACACTATTATGGCATTTTAACAAGCTGTATTTGTATACCAGTGTTTAGTTTTCATATTTTCATATTCTGTGGCTTATGAAGCACTGCAAGTATATAAACAACTGTACAGTGTTTTAAAACAAAACAAACAAGTAGAGTTTCTGCTCCAGAAATCTCATAGCCTAGTTGTACCAGAGCTCATAGGATCCAAGTGAGCAGCCATCTGGAATTCTAAAGTACTCTGGGATTACAAGGGTGTAACTAAGCTGTATTTCAAAAATATTGGGATGAGTAGTTACAGCTTTTTTTTTTTATGTAACAAGCAATATTTTCTAGTTACTTTAAAAGGGCTTTTGAGAGGCATTTTGTCAGGAATTTTCAGGTTTGGGGCAATTTTTTTAACAGTCTCAAATGGCAATGAAAGAGATGTTTGTTTATAAAAGAAAAACACAGGCATGTGGTACATAAGTGAAATAAAAAAGCAGAATGGGATGAGACACTTATTGACCAAAGGTCCCTGTGGACAAGTCCGAAGAAGGAGCTGTTATATTAACCTTGTTGCAGCAAGGACAGATAAAAATAAAACAAACCTCCAAGTTTACAATTTAATAAGTTTCTAGTTAGTCTTTAAAAGTGCCAGAGAGCTCTCTTTTTGAAACTATCAAGATCTTTAGGGTAAGAGCCAAGCAGATATGGTAATCTCAGCTTCATCTTTCAAAGAGGCTGCTGGTTTTGTTCTAATGTGAATGTCTAATATAGTTTTTTTTCTCTTTCAAAAACCATCCATGGGAGATTGAAGCCCTTTTTTCCAGGTGTAGTATTATGTTAATGAAGTGTAATTGGAAGTGGTCAAAGAATTACTGGTTTCTTACAGAGTAGTGGTCCTTAGCTCTAGGGCTCCTGGTGCTCTGGGAGAACAGTTCTTTGAAGCCCTATTATTAGCTAGGTGAGTGTGTTTTTAGAGAGAGAAGGGGCTGACTAGTATTAATGTAGTACAAATGTTTTAAAGGAAGGTTCAGGTGCTCTTCCTGTTGGGGAGAGGGAGTTGGCAGATCCATGTACCCTCTACAAAGAGCACCTTGTAACTAACATTTTTAAAGAACAAAACTCTGGAAACATTTAAATTTGCTGAGAGCTCTTACTCTCCTTTGCCCCCTAAAATGAATTCAATATTAGCATGCTAAATCTAATGTGTTATTTCCAAGGATTCAAAACCCCTGTCTCCAGTAGTAAAGTTGTACTCTGAGCAGCTGTGTGAGATATTTTCAATTTTTTTAAAAAAAAAAAAACATAAACTGTTCTGTATGATGTATTTTGAAGGTACAGTTTTGAAATTGGCCACTAGAGGATACCAGAAAATATGTCCCTGTTAGTTTCTGGCTTGCAGGCAACCACAACCCATAAAAACACAAACATATCCAATAGGTGAAGCAACCGCAAGGACAATTAACAACCTAGCTTCTCCCAGATGATCAGTTTTTTTTAAAATTCCAAGCTCTGTAACCATTTTTAAAGGAGAGTGCTAGAAATGCCTTAAATATTTGTTAGCTGGAGTAGGTCAAGCATTCCATATTTATTTGAACAAGTTGCTTGAATGAATTGTTTTGGTTATTGGAATATTGGAAGCAGAGAACGTGTGCGTGCAGGGGGCAGAAGAGGGAGAAACAGATTGTTAAGGCTCTCTAATGTATTATCTCATTGTCTCACCTGCTTTGTCACTTCCTCTCTTGTAGATTCTCATGTCTGACTGCACATCCTTCCAGATAATTATTCCTCTTAGTCATACAACTAGTGGTAGTGAACACCACCTTCTTCCTAAATGTTCTTCAAAACTATTGTTGTAACAGTGAGGAATGACTTTACTCCCTCTGTAGTGTAATTGTACTTTTTCTATTATCTCTACAGTTACAGATCTATGGCCACACCAATGTTGGGGGATTCATATTGTGTTGTGCCTCTGGCTGCCTAGTGTTCTGTTGTGATGATTGACACAATGAAAAGAGGGGAGAAAAGTGTGTTTGGGTCCACAGACCAATGACTTGTATGTTCAGATGTTTTACATTGCTAAAAAGTAATGGCTGCCTAAGGGGGTGCTGTTTCCCCCCCCCCATTTTTTATATTGTTTGTTTTAATAGTATAACCTGTCTTGAGTACTCTTGAGGAGAAAGGTGGGGTATACATATTTTGAATGAATAAATAAATTGTTGTTTAGTCGTTGTGTCCGACTCTTTGTGACCCCATGGACCAGAGCACGCCAGACCCTCCTGTCTTCCACTACCTTCATGTTGGTAGCTTTGATGACACTGTCCAACCATCTCGTCCTTCTCCTCTTGCCTTCACACTTTCCCAACATCAGGGTCTTTTCCAGGGAGTCTTCTCTTCTCATGAGATGGCTAAAGTACTGGAGCCTCAGCTTCAGGATCTGTCCTTCCAGTGAGCACTCAGAGTTGATTTCCTTCAGGATGGATAGGTTTGTTCTCCTTGCAGTCCAGGGGACTCTCAAGAATCTCCTCCAGCACCACAATCCAAAAGCATCAATTTTTCGGCGGTCAGCCTTCTTTATGGTCCAGCTCTCACTTCCATGCATCGCTTTCCAGGGCAAATGCACTTTTCAGTTATGTTATTTCTGCAGTGTACAGCCTTTTCTGCAACCCTGCAAGACAATATGTCTTAATACAGGGCAATTAATGTATATTATTCCTATGACAGGCCTTCTGATTTTAGTGAGACTTGTTCCTTATTATGTGTGCATAGCATTGCAGTCCAAGTACAGTAGATTACATTAGGAGATGACTGATATGTTAAGAACCCAGGCCAGTATTCTCCCAAAGCTCTGCCGAGCAAGAAGTCCCATCACTGTAATATTACATTGTGTGGTGCGCACAAGATCAGCACTGGCTTAATGGCAAATGTTTGTGCAGCGTTATGATCTTGCTTTAATATGGTGACAGCACTTTCTACATAGCAAAAGCTGAGTAAAAACTGACCTAATTGTTTTACTACACAGTAGCAGCAAGTAGTTTCAGTTTAGCACCCGATCACCACTTCTAACATAATTTTTGTAACAGTTTCTGTAAGCGATGCAAATACAGTGGTGCCTCGCTTAACGATTTTAATTGGTTCCCCACAAAAAATCGCTATGTGCAAACATCGTTAAACGAAACACCATTTCCCATAGAGATGCACTGAAAACCAGATAATCCGTTCCAATTGGAACGGATTACCATCCTTAAGCGAAAATCCCCATAGGAAAATACGTTAAGCAAAACCCATTGAAATGCATTGAAGCCTATGTCAATGGGGGAAAAAAATTCACAAAAAATTCAAAAAGACTCAGAACAAAGCCAAATTAAGTTAACGAAGGTTTTATTAGGTGCACTAACGATTCCAAGCATTTTAAACATTTTTAAACATTTTTGAATATTTTAAAAATAGCAAAAACGGGGCTGTAAAAAAAAGTTAAGCGAAACAAGGGGACCTAAAACTGTCATCGTTGAGTGAAGCATGGTCCCGAAATCGTTAAGCGAAAATCGCCCATAGGGAAAATCGTTAAGTGAAGCACAAGATCGCTCCAAAAAAGCCATCGTTAAGTGAATTTTTCGTTGTACGAAGCAATCGTTAAGCGAGGCACTACTGTACTGCTAAGATCTTTCTGACAAATATCACTCATTGTCAGCTCACTGCAAAACTCCTCTCCCCCATACCCTTACCTGTTTACTATCCCAACTATCTTAGGCATCTCCCCCTGCCACAGCCCAACTCCTCACAACATTACATTATATTGAATATCGCTAAAGAGTTCATGCTAAAAAGCTGTGCCATGTCATATCCAAACAAGAGAAAAACATGTGTTTACTGGAAGAGTAGTGAGAAATACTTTAGAACTTTCCAAACTAGTTACATTCTTTCTTTCTTTCTTTGATTTATAAACTGTCACTCTAGTGGAAACAATACTCTGGGCAATATTAAAAACTCAGAATCCCACAGAGACACAATAACGATGCATCAATATAGCAGTTCAACAAGCTAAATCTAAAATTAAAACAGAAAAGAAAAAAACATTAAAATTAATAATATCCAGGGGATAAGTTACTGAAGGCAGCTTTGTGTAGTTCTGTCTTCATTAATTTCCTGAATGTCAGTAGTGAAGGAGTCTGGCATACCTCAGTTGGGAACTTATGCCACAAACTGGAGGCCACCACCAAGGAGGCCCAATTCCTTGTTGTCACTTTTTTGGCCTTGGTGTGGCCATTTTTAGCAATTTAGATTGAGAGGAGAAGATGAAATAGCTGTTTTTTGAGATGTTATGACAAGTAGCAAAACCCTAAACCATTAAAGCCTTTATAGATACACTACTGTTCATGTACAAGTGGTGCCAATTTTCAACTTAGGAGCCACAGTAAATGCAATCTGAGGCAAACAAGAATATATCCACCCTGATCTGCAAGCAAGCTAGATTCAATATTTAGTAGGAATTAGGTCTCTTATAGATACTACACTTGATCTTAGTCAAGATCAAGTGTAGGTCTCTTAATAGTTTCTTCCTTTTAGCAAGAGTTGGATGATGTTGCACAAGAATGAACCCCAAACTTACATTGCTACCTCTAGTTTAAAACATGTAGCTGTTACAGTTGTATAGTGTATCATTATTAATCCCAAACTTACATTGCTACCACCTCTAGTTTAAAACATGTAGTTGTTACAGTTGTATAGTGTATCATTATTAAATCTTGTTGTGATTGGCTTCAGCTAACTTTGGCATATTTAAAATGGGTGGCTGATTTTCCAGTAGCTACCGCTGAAGATAAACCACATAGTGCTTGATGAGGGCACAATGTACAACCCTACTATTGACCAGGCTGTAGCCCCATGACAAACCCTTTCTTCCCCGTTGATTTTATCTTGATTGTTCTGTCCTCACTGCTGTTAGCAGCAAGGAAAGAACAGCCTGTATCAGGATTGCTGGGGAAAAAATGCAAAAGAGGCTCTATACTTTCACTAAGCAAAAGAAAAGGAGGGATGGGCATGGTTCATGAAGCCATGAACACTGAAAAGTTTGTATACTTCTGTGCTAGAATAATATACAAAAAGGATAGTATTGAGCTCTCTACCCAATGTAATGTGGTGGATAGAGTGAAGGCTAGGAGTCAGGAGACCTGACTATAAATCCCTGCTCTGCTGTGGAACTGGGGGTGTGGAACGGGTAATATCGCTCCTTCAATACCTCACTTACCTTGAAAGCTGTATTACCGTCAATAGAAGTTGGTTCCAACTTACAGCACATAAAACATGTACACACATACACACAGTATAGAGCTACTAATTTTTTTTGACTCCTCAAGTGTTTCTCAGGCTGTTTAGTAAATAATCATATGTATTACAATCTTCTGAAAAGTGTAATTTTTTGGATGGTGTCTTATAAGCACACACATAAGTAACAACTATTGAATTAAAGAGCAATTTATTTCTTCTGAACTTGACAAGGAGGGATTTCCCAGAGATTGATAACACAACACAGTCTTATGCACCATTTCACAGCTAGTCCCTTGTTGGTTTTATTAAGAACATAGTAATTTAAAAAATAGCTAAATATGTACATATTAATAAAACTTATATACATAAGATTGAGATACTTTATACCTAAATATGGAATGATTTTCCTAATAAAACCTATAAAAAGACTTCTGAATAGAAGTTTGAACAGTAGTCACAGTTAAGTAGACACAAATACAATTGTTTTTTTAAAATTCATGAACAGAATGTTGATTGTTAACTGTTACAATAAGTGTGCCTTATTTATAAATCTAATGAAACTGAAAAGCTCCATTCATGAGGAGCAACCCTATCAGTCTCTAAGGGGTAGATGGACTTTTTGCAAATGCAGATAGCCAGGTTTTCGCTTGTGATCAAGAGAACACAGCCACATTTCAATAGTAAATTGGTCACATTAAATTCCATACAAGGATTAATGAACTGCAGTAGAAATGATTATTCAGCCCAAATATATCTAAAAAACAGGATAGTTATTTTTAAACTCCTATAGCATAGTTGACTGGTGTGCTTTTGACGATGATCTTGGATATTCCAATGTAGGTAGTATTTATTTACCTTTTATTGGAGAATTGACTTTAGCATTACACATTAAGGATAGAACAGAAGCCTGGTTCTTCAAATGGTAACAATAATATATAATTTGTATCTTCAAATTATACTTGTGGTGGAGTTGTGGTTAGTAACTTTAAAGATCAGTTCAGAAATCTATGCACACACATGGCAAACTTTCCTTTTGAAAACAGAAATATAAAATAAATCAAAATATTGTGAAGGGAAGATACAAAACACTTTGGTTTTAATTCTAATGGATGGGAGAAGGATATCAATGCAAGATGATGACAAACAGGGTGTTATTAAATATATGTGAAGATAAGTTAACTAGCAAGTCATAAGGTGCAAGTAGTTTTCTTTAAAATTATTCCTTTTATTTGGAAGAATAAATACAGGTAGTGCTGTATGATGCGCATTTTGTCTTTTGTTCTTCCCCACTACTACTCTTATCCTAGGGCAGAAAGGAATGCTAGAGTATCCAATCAAGCAAGGTTGGGAAATATGGGGCTCTCCAGATGTTAGGTAAAGATAAAGGTTCCCCTTGACATTTAGTCCAGTCGTGTCCAACTCTAGGGCACGGTGCTCATCCCCGTCTCCAAGCCATAGAGCCAGCGTTTGTCCGAAGACAGTTTCTGTGGTCATATGGCTAGCGTGACTAGACAAGAAACGCCATTACCTTCCCACCGTGGTGGTACCAATTTATCTACTTGCATTTACATGCTTTCGAACTGCTAGGTTGGCAGGAGCACAGAGGCTTCTGCGGTTTAACCCGCAGCGCCACCACGTCCCCTCCAGATGTTACTGGATTACAACACCTACCATCCCTCACCATTGGCTACACTAGGGGTTTTGGAGTTGCAGTCCTACTGCATCTGGAAGGCCACATGTTCCACAGTCCTGTGACAGTTTGTGATAAAAGTGGCATATCTGAAACAGTCCATTGATCAAATATATTTTCAAATGACTGATGCACATTTGTGAAGAGGTGTTCAGTTTGCCTATTGGGGGCCAGCACTAGTATTTTGTGTTCCTGCCCTCTAGATTTAAAAAGTGGATGATTGTTTTGTGGGGGCGGAATATGTGAAAGCTCAATTCATAAATTTTATATCCCTCATTAAAAGGAGGGGGGACTGTGGAATTCTTGCCTAAATGTGCCTGTGCCTACAAGTGGAGAACCCAATTCACACAATGTCTTGTATATGATGTTCCTCACTGCACATACATTCCCTCCATTGCAAACCTGTCTTTACTTCAGCAAGCATGTGAACCCCTCTAGGTCAAAATGGAAGTGTGATGAGTTAAGATGTTGCACAAGCACACAGATACATACAGGGTACAGATTCATATGCACTTTGTTTCCTCTCTCCATTATACTACCCAAAAGTCACTTGAGGAATTAGGCACAAGGGAAGAAGATAACAGCATGTGAAAGTCAACCACCACCCGAACTTGAAAAGTATTTTCCCTACATATCATGCAAATATTCCAAAAAGCTATGTATATAAAAGTGCTATGGAGACTTCCGGCAGCAATAATTCTTGAAATAATTTCCTGGGGAAATACAAGATAGCACTGCCAGATTCAAAAGTCAAGGGAGAATGGAGGTCCCTGCAAAAGAATGTTCCTGGGTCATCTCAGTATCAAGAACAATTCATTTCATATTCATTGAGACACATTCTGGACAAAACAGCATACTCAGTTAGTGGTGGTGCTTATTGTCAAAATACTGATACCAGCCTGTATCCTATTGCTAGTCCCAACTAAACTCACTGAATAAATTTTTGACTGGTAAATCTACACATAGACACACCCCACTGAGTAAATGGGTCTATTCCAGTTGGTGCTAGCAACATAATACTGGACAAAGTACCTTATTATGAGAAGAATACCTGGCAACTTTATTTGCCTAAAGAGAAAAATGATAAGCTAAGAAGTAGAGAGTGGACCTCCAGAAACTATGACGATTAATGATCCATTAAACTCAACAGGTTTTTGGTCCTGTGATTTCTGCACACGAAAGCAGTATAAACTGGGGTCCTTCAGGGCTCCCTCTTGAAAAGAGAGACCTATAGATGTGTTTATTTTTATCTATTTAACAGAACAGCCAGCATGCGTATACTTATGTGGGAAAATGCAATGGGGAAAATGTGATCATATGTAGGAAAATGCAATCATAAGATCAACATTTGTTCTATAGCTGTGGTTAATAACTGCAGTATAATCTTTGCTGCTGGAACAAGCCTATTCTGATTAAAATAAAAAGAAACAAGTACTTTAGTGGCTTTGTTATCCCGTGTTATAAAAGCATGAAGAAAATTGAGGAGGCCATAGCAAAAGAGAAATACAGGTACTGAAGAAGTCTGGAAATGTTGCTGGTATCCTGCTGAAATGTAATGATATCTGGATCAGCTAGTGAAACACTGGTGCAGAATGTGTGGTTTCAAAGAGGTTACCTGAAAAAGAAAAAAAACAATTTAAAATTAGGATTTTAAGTATTAACAATATACCAATAGTATACATTTTGTAAGTAGTTTAAAAGTTTATTTGTTCTGAAAAATAAGAATGAGAAAAACAGCATTTTGGATAAATACAACTACATTCTCAACTTCAACGACAGAATTCTTTTCCTCTGGCTGTGAAATAAATATCTGCAAGTGTTGTTGGAAATTAGTTTGTCCTGAAAAATCTCTGAAAGGGTAATGCATAGAAACAAATAAATTTGAATGGAGACCTTTGTTTTCCCAACTTAAATACATAGCTTGGTTATATATAAAAAATTATTTCCCTAGAGCCCCAAGTGGGCTCACTGATAATTAGTTTTTAACAATACCAGAGTGCAGGCCTTAGGTGGACTCTTCTATTAAGCATGTCATATATACTGCTACTATGAGATTTTTTTCTCCTGGCTGTCCACTAAGTTGTTCATCTGCTGTCCGCTAGGCTTTTGTCAGCTCCCGTATTTGATCACAGAACAATGTATATTTTGATGGTTGTTGTGGGTTTTTCAGGTTCTTTGGCTGTATTCTGAAGGTTGTTCGTCCTGACGTTTTGCCAGTCTCTGTGGCCGGCATCTTCAGAGGACTGGAGTAAGAACTCTGTCCATGCTCTGTTCAATGATGGGAGGGAGGCCGAGATAGGAGAGATATCTTGATGCCAATCCTTTTTAGCCACTTGATTGTTGTGCTTGTCCTTAACCTGTAACTTTTTCTTTTTCAGGTCCTCCTTTTGGGAGCCAGACAACATTGAGGTAAGGGATTTTTTCGAGCCCAAAGGGGCTGACTTTTCAGATGTTTTCCCCATGCTCTTTGACGCTGGCGGGGCAGTGGGGAGGCGGTAGAAACCTCAGGCCGGGGAGTAGCAGAGGGGTTTGAAGCAGTCTACATAGCGTCAGGTTTCAACGCTGACAGTGTCTTGTCCCACAGAAATAATACAAGTCTCTGCTGTCTCGCTTTGAGGGCAGGCTTAGTGAGGTTTTTACAGTGCCTGCAAGAGTGGGGTTGATGACCCTCCCCCAAACAAAAAAGGCAGCGCTCGTGACCGTCTGAAAAAGGGAGTTTATGGGTACATGAGGCACACCTTCTGAAGGGACCTGAAGGGGACATAAAGGGGAAAAATAACAATAAAACCAGTAGAGAACAGGTATGGTCAGGCAGCCCGGAACGGCAGATTGAAGGAAGAGGCGGAGGAAGGTCAGAGACAACCCAAAGTTTGTAAACCAAGAGAGCAATAGTTAGAATAAAGTTAGTCCGCAATCCAAAAGCTAAATGTGAACAGTCCAATGGTCAAAGGTGGAAATTGGTCTGGTAAAAAAAAGGTGGGAAGTCCGAAAGAGAAATCCAAAGCCAGTCCAGGAGGAGAAATCCAAAGCCAAAGTACGAGGGGCAACAGTAATAAAACGGTCAAGCGAAAATCGTAGTCAAACAGTCCGAAGTCAAAGATAATATCCAAAAAAGAGGCAGAAAAAGAGAGCTCTAGTGTGAGAAGTTCCTATCGCCAAGGCGGTAAAAATGGAACTGAGGGCTGAGGCGGGCAGAGCATGCACTGTAGGGGCAACTTGCAACTAATTTTTTCTCTAAAAGCTCTAGAAGAATCTGAGGAGTCCTGCGCAGGCGCAGTCTACCCAGTTGTGTGCATTCACAGAGGCCACAAAGAAGTCTGTACCTTGAAAAGTATGCACGTCAAACCATGCGTACGTTGAGGGTCCACTGTATTAATTTTTGCTCCAAAAATGCATTAGGGCTTATTTTCAGGGGATGTTTTATTCTTTTCATGTACTGTACAACAATCTACATTTATTCAAATGTAGTCATGTCATCTTCTTCTGGTTGCTGCACAATGGTGGAGGGTGGGCTTTCACTTAACTAGGGCTTATTTTTGGAGTAGGGCTTATATTACAAGCATCCTGAAAAAATCATACTAGGGCTTATTTTCAGCTTAGGTCTTATTTTCAGGGAAAGAGGGTAATATGTGAATTTTTCTTCTGCATTTCAGTTGCCATAGGCCAGGAAACATTTAACCTTTTGATTCTCCTAAATGTACACAATGGTCTGGAAGCTACTTAGAGCACTAGGAGGGGGAAAAAGAGATGTCAACCAAGGTCTTCCATCCATGGTCCCTTTTAGACTAGTGGTTTTTCAAAAGTCTGACAGCGAAGACACATTTGTCTGAATTACAATAACCCTTCCAGCTGAAAGCCAATATTCTCTGAAACGCAGGGTGGAATATCAATCTCCTATGATCTTCAGCTTTTTGTACCACATGTGGAGATCATCCCATTTAACACAATGGCTTCCACTCCTGCAAGGGGATATTAGCAACTGTGCACTGACGTCAAACTGCTCATAGAACTCCATGACCACTAGGATTTTGCCCCAGAAGATTCTTCACATGGTTAAATGAAGGTCTATGTATGTTCTGTGTAAAAATCTAAAGCAATCTAAATGAAGGTCTATGTACTGTATGTTCTGTGTAAAAATCTAAAGCAATGTTCCCAAACAATTAACGTTCTGTGCCAAGAAAAGCTGAATCCTATAACATATAATTTGGCAAATTAAACACACTTCCATATTTATATCGTGTTTGCTAATTATGGAAGAGACAGTGATATGACATTGCCTCTACCATACCATTTTTTTCCTTTAATGTAACCACATTTCTGACTTTAGAGAATTTATCAAGTATTGCCAATACCCATTATGTAGCTTATCTTTATTCATAAAAGCTTTTAATTGTACTGGGCTTCTGTTGTTTTATTCAACGGGATTCAAACAAATCCACTGACATGCTTTGCCCAACCTTGTTCTAAATAGTTATCCCAACTTCAGTGAGAGCAAATGCAAAGGAATAATCAGCATGCTTTTAATAACCAGCAGTTTTTACCTGTTTGTAGTAAAGACATGTCCAGTTTCTCATCACAATCAGTTGCCTCTGCTAAATAAAAGAAAACACCAAAGATTAATTTTTTCCCAAAGGATATAAAGCAAGACTGATTATGTACAACAGCAGTAGTAGATAGGAAATGAATCATTCCCTTAAACGACAGGCAGGAACTCAAACTTCATTCCTGTCAGAAACAATCCAATGGTGCTTCTGGAATGGAGGGATTTGTTGACAGATTCTGTCATTGCCCAGCACTGTGTTCACAGTCCTCACATTCTTCAGGGAGGCTCATTCTTTATTCCCAGGAACACTATACAATCCTTTCAAAGATTATGCAAATTATAGGGTACTTCAAGAATTTTGCAAATGCATAGAAAGAGTGGCTAACTCAGACAAGAGAAATATCCAGTTTAAGCCCATATCTTATTTTTGGCAATAAGTTATGGGGATCAGCCGTGCAATCAGTTCCAAATGCCAGTAAGTCCTGATCATGTATAGAGTGCTCCCAAAGAATACAGTACTACAAACCTACCCTCATGACCCTAATTGAAGGGGGAGAGATATTTCTCAATAGCTTGGTCTATCAAAGCCAATCTATTCCATATCAGTCAATGCTATCCCAGAAAATGTTATTCCATTTAAATGGGCTGTAGCTAGGTAGATGATTAAGAAGCACAAATCCTGCCACCTATGCTGGGCTCTGTGACTCTAGCATTTTGGACCAGTTTTGTACTTTCCTTCGCTGTATGTCAGTTTTCGCCCACTTACTTTGTATGATAAAACTACATGTGAATGGATAACTGAGAACAGTGTCCAACTTTGTTTCAACAGGTCACAGATTGCAATTCTTAACCTTGTTGACGAATGACAGAGAGATAGGACTTTTTTTCTTTGTACATACAACTCAGAAGACTAATTAAATGTAACTTCGTATCCTACTGCAGTGGCTTTGCAAATAGCACTGTTAAGAAGCACATTTCTTTACAACAGTAAGAGAATTCTACTAGATAAACTGCAATCCTTTACCAGGATTCTGAAAAGTCAGTTTCACCTGTTTTACTGAGATGACCAAAAAACAAACAAAAACAAACCCCTACCCCAAAGAACCTCTTTTAGGGCCAACAGAACCTGGACATGCAGCCAACCTTTCATGTTTCACTGAATTCCTCATCAAGCAAACTAAACAGTTAAAACATTAGATTGACTGAGAAATCATAGCTTAGTGGCACAACCTTAAACACATGATATTCCAGGCAAAATCCCTACTGTCTGCAGTTAATCATATCCTTGGCAGCAAGCTTTAGAAAGACCTGAGAAAGCCACTGTCAGTCAGAGCAGACAATACTGAGTTGTGTGGACCAATGATCTCAATACAAGGCAATACGATCTCAATCTCATACAAGGCACCATTTTGTGATAAAAAAGTTGCATATATTCATGTCTAGTGGAGGCCAGACATATTGGTAGTACAGTGCAACTTTTGCTTGTAGAGGGCTCTAGGTTCTGTCTGGCATCTCCAGCTCAAAGGGTAAAGTAGCAAGTGATGAAAAAAAAAATACAGCTTTGCACCTTCCTTGCAAAGCTGCAGCCACTTGGAACTTACAATACTGAACTAAATGGATAAAAACTCTAATCTGGGAGAAGGCAGCTTCCCATATTCCCATCTTTTAATCCTAGTAATGCTTGCAGATTAAAGTTTGACACTGCCAATAATTAAATTTGTTCTTGGCTGAAGAAAAGTCGTTTTTCCTAACTCTTTGTTTTCAGAACTGAAATTCAATTTGAAGTAATATATATGTGTTGCTTTAGGTTTCTTTTTAACCCCTGCACCATATAAACATTGGATTTATGTTCCAAAGCACCCTGTAATCACCACATTGTTGATTAGTTTACAAGGAGTTGGGCACTCTGAGCTAGAAGAATGACCCTGGGTTCAAGTGCAGGCTTAGCCACACTGAGTTCCTGAGTCATCATACTGTTAACAAGAAAGGCTAGGGCAGTAGCAGTTTAATCTTTAGTCTAGCAGAATGCCAAGCATGTGCTGATGCACACAACTATACATTGCAAAAGAAATTTCCTGAAACCATGGCACTAGGGATTCTCCATAATTCTCCTTTCTGGGAGCCCTAGTTATAGGACCTGGATAAAGGTCCAGCTGGCTGGCTTCATACCATAGACAAGCCTAACTTCCTGTTTCAAAAGGAAGCTGCTCTAATGATTGTTGATCAGCTTCTTTTTGAAACAGGAAATTAAGCTTACCCAAGAAATGAAGTCTCCATATCCCTACAAGGCACTCAGGTTAAGCCAACTATTTTTATTGCCATCCACACTGTCTTCTGTTTTCTCTACTAACAATAATTTTTTGCATCACTACACTGGATTTTATTGCACTGGAAAACACAAGTAATTGAGAACAGAATTACCCATCCCCTAAGGAGGCTGCTGTTGTATTGCTACATGAAACAGTTTACAGTATTCATTCAGGGAATGCAGACATCCATTAGCTGTGCTGGCAAGGGCTTCTGGGAGTTGGAGTCCAAGAATGTCTGGGGACCCAAGGCTGGGAACCACTGATATAGAGTAAATGGAAGGTTAACAGCTGTACTGCTAGTCTGACACCAAGAACTATAAATGGATGGGACATGTGGAGAACTTGTGTATCATGTGGAGTACTGGTGCATCTGTTTGTGACTGTGTGTTTGCATGCACACTCTGCAATCATATAGCCTCCAGTGTCAGGGTTAAATGGCAGGGAGCTATTAGAAATACATAAATAAATACATACATGAAAACTAGTGTGTCTGATTCAAGCCAATCACTGAATTGATACTCTGCAATCATACAGCCTCCAGCGTCAGGGTTAAATGGCAGGGAGCTATTACAAATACATAAATAAATACATGAAAACTAGCGTGTCTGATTCAAGCCAATCACTGAATTGAAAAGGTGCCAAATCAAAATATGGTACTTCCAGTTACATACAAAAACACGCCAATGGTGCAAAATGTGACAGTAAACTCTCCTTAGGAAACTGCTTTCAGAATCCAAAAAGTATTTCTTTCTAAAGCAATTCTGTTGATGAATTTTCTTTAGTCAAATTTCAATTTTTCCAGTAAGAGTTAGTCTCCAATTCTAGGAAAGATGCCAGCTCTTGTAAATAAGTTTAAAACAGAACCTATCTGCAACTCATTAAATTATCTTAACATTTACTTTAAAGATACTCAAGAAAGTCCTTTGAAACACAAAAATCAGGTTTCCTCTATATAAAAGGCAAATAAACAAATATAGTTTTACCCTATATTGCAAAAAGATTTTATGCCACCTGTAACTGGACAAGGAAGAGGATTTCATACCATCTGGAACAAAGATTTTATTTTCTGTAGCACCATTCTCTTCAGCCACTTGGTAAATGAGCTGATACTACCCATTTGGCTTTGGGTTTTTTAAAAAAACTGAGCAGATAAATTATCTCCAGTCTTGTCAGTATAAAGACTGCCTGCTCACTCACTGCTTTCCACCATCAAAGAGTTTTTGAGTTTCAAGAGAAATGGGAACAGTTTTTACTCCGTAAATGTATTTTTGTGTATAGGTTTGTATAGTCATTCATAAAAAAATGACTGGGAGTTAACTGACAGTTTTAGTTTGGATGTGTGGCAGTTGAGAGATATGGAAGAATGTTTCTGCATTTGTATGATTCTTGGATGGAGAGGTTCTGTTTTGTGGGGTTTGCGTGTGCTATGTATGATTGAAATATGGGCATTAGGAATTAGCTGGGTTTCTTGAACTAAGTTTTTTAGAAATTCTAAAGAAGTAAAGGCTTATGGTTTCATAATGAAGAACGTGAACGGTTGAACACTGTTCTTATAGTTTAGTTTTACAAACCATTGTTGTTGTTGTTATCATTCACAAGAAACTCCCACACATGTCTCTGGTCAGTTCTGAGACACTCTGTTTATATAGTGTCTCTAAAATAACTAAGGTTGTACACGGCATCAGAAGCATTAAAAAAAAAACCAATATAAAATTAGTCCTTAGCTGTGGCAGTAAGGTAAAAGGTAAAGGTTCCCCTTGACAATTTTTGTCCAGTTGTGTCCGACTTTAGGGGGTGGTGCTCATCCCGCTCTTCAAGCCATAGAGCCAGCGTTTTGTCCGAAGACAATCTTTCCGTGGTCACATGGCCAACACTACTGCAAAAAGAACTCAGGTTCTCTGCCTGGTTTGGTGGTAGGGATAACACAAGACAAGTCTCTATTCACAGTTTAAAGCAATCCCAAATTTAGCACAGCAAAATCAAATCCTCCTTTGTGGAGGATTGTTTGGATGGCAGCACACACAGCATAGAAAAGGTGTGTGGGTGTCATAGAAACAGTTTAGATTTGATATGATGGTTTTGTGTTTTCAGATCAGAGAACCGATAGTGCTCCCACCTATCTTAGAAGTGACTCCAGCATCACCCAATATGTGTCTGCAGATATGTCTTCTTCATTATGTCTCAGAAAAACATGCAGATGACATGATAGGTAAAGGTAAAGGTTCCCCTTGACAATTTTTGTCCAGTCGTGTTCGACTCTAGGGGGCGGTGCTCATCCCGGTTTCCAAGCCATAGAGCCAGCGTTTTGTCTGAAGACAGTTTTCTGATGTCACATGGCCAGTGCGACTTAGACACAGAACGCTGTTACCTTCCCACCAAGGTGGTACCTATTTATCTACTTGCACTTACATGCTTTCGAACTGCTAGGTTGGTGGGAGCTGGGACAAGCGATGGGCACTCACTCCGTCGCGTGGATTCGATCTTACGACTGCTGGTCTTCTGACCCTGCAGCATAGGCTTCTGCGGTTTAGCCCGCAGCGCCACCATGTCCCGCAAATGACATGATACTTATGAGCAAATCTCTCCTTCAATCTGACTCCTATTTTGTGTAAAATGTTTCCATATGAAGAGATTTAAAGATCCTGAAACATATTTTTGGCCTTTTGGTTGGGCTAATAAAGGTATAAAGTATGGATTTTGGAGCCAATTATCTTAGATAATTATTTCATATCAGTAACGTGAAGCAATAATCTACTTACATGAAACAGTCACAGCTCAATTGCCACAGACAGCTTTCATGCTATCAAAAAATATTGCTATGAGGACACATATTCAACCCAAAGTCAGAATACTGAGTAGTCCATCAGGAAGAGAACTTTAAAAGGCACGCATGCATCAACAAACCCTTAAGAACAATATCCTTCTTCAAACAATCTTTAAGACTATGCTCAACATTATACTCATTGAAGGCCATAAATATTCTGTCACCTTCATATTCTCATTCATACTGTTTCCACACCCTAACCCTACTCTTTGTTCTTACCTGAACCTCTTTTCAACCGTCTTCTTGCGAGTTTGATTTGATCCTGCAGGATTTGTACCCAGTCTCTTGGGCCAGGCAATTTATCGACATGGTTTGCAGTGCAGTATTTTTCCGTGAACACTAAGACCAGAAAACATATCTTAACCAAAACAACACATTTTTCAAAGCTGGAGAAATACAGAGAACTTCAGAAAGAAAACGGATTAAGCAACCAGACAGGAGAAATGCATAGCAGAATAAGATACAGTGGTGCCTCACATGATGACGACAATCCATTCTGTCAAAATTGCTGTACAGCAAAATTGTCGTCATGCGAAAATAAAATCCCCATTGGAATGCATTGAAAACTGGTTAATGCGTTCCAATGGGGAAAATACCTGCTCGTCCAGTGAAGATCCTCCATAGGGCAGCCATTTTGTGAGTGCCGATCAGCTGTTTTTAATGCCTGTCTTCCGAAACAAGGGTTGGAAAACAGCGGGAGGCCATTTTAGAAACCCGACGATCAGCAACAAAATCCCCACAGTTCAGCGAAAAAATGGTTCCCAAAGCAGGGACCTAATCATCGTTAAGCGAAAAAACCCATCTATAGAGATCACAAAAAAGTTGTCATCAAGTGATTTTGTCATCATGCGGGTTTCGTTGTAATGCGGGGCACCACTGTATAGTGTTTCATATAAAACTTGAGAATGGTTTAAATTACCGTAATTTTGAATTATTTAATGTAAGATCTGTCTGATATACAGCATCATAATGACAGCAAACTTTTTTCTCATAACTATCAATTTTCCAAGAGCAAGAAATCACACAGGAGGCATCAAATATATAGTCTCCCTTATATGTATATCCGACATAGTAGAAGACAATGTGTTGTGATACAAATTTAGATTTCAACTGCTAGTCTTCCAATGCAAGGCACCTAATTATTTAGAAATGTATACAACAGTTTGATCTCCTAAGTCCTCAAGAGCCTTTACCATATTAAAAATGATTCAACGTAAGATGGCATCAGAATGCCAGAAATATTCTTCACTAACCATTTAAGCAGAACAGTAAACACTGTCTGAGAATCAGTGATGCAAACTGACACATTCAAATATATGAATATGAAATTTAAATGTATAAGGTTTTATTTTGTAAACTAGAATTATCATGGGCAACTATTTCATACTTATCTCAAGCTACTCTCAAGATTTATTGGTTCAACCAACATATAACAGAGGACAGACTGTATTTCTTTTATTAAAGGAAAGATTTCAGTAACCAAAAAATGGACATCACAATAACAACCCAAATGATTCTATGCATCAAATTGTATCCATAATATTCTCCCAGAATCATTCATTATCACAGATGGGAGAGGCAAGTGCTAAGGCAAGAATGTGTTTGAAATCTGGTTTAGGAGCAAAGTAGGGAATGCTTCACACAGAACTCATTTAGATACACTGCATCTTTCTGGATGCTAATTTCCATATCCTTTGATGGGTCTCTTTGTAATCATAACAATTCCACATACAGAGGGATGACAAAGATGTTTCAGGCCTGGGTTGCTTAACAGTGGGAGATTTAACTATCATTTTGGCTTCCCACTGGCCCAAAAACTGCAATACGAAGACTCTTGCTTACAATCTTCATCTAATTGATTTACTGGGCACAAATCCTGCTCAGTTTCTGGTAACAGAAAGAGAATCAGAAGTATGATTCTAAAAACAGCTGGAAGAGCTGTTAAATGAGCCTCTCTTGGCAATGATGTAAAAAAAAAAGCCTTGTCATTCTTAAGGAGATCTCACACTGGCTGAGCTATCACAAGGAACAAATGGATCTATAGTATATCTTATAGAACTGCTCTTCAAAAATAAAATGTGCAAATAGAGCCAGGCAGAGTTAAGTTCCACAGGGTGCCATCCCTTGCTGTTCCCTTCTAGCAACAGAATCCCTATCAAGCTTAGCAGAGTTCTCCCAGAAATATCATTCATGTGGTACCATAATGATAATAAAGAGAGTTCTCTTATTATGATAACAGTGCCTAGCCGTACCACCCCTGATATTATTAGCTGCTGAACGTAACCAAAGACAGAGAGAGTTTAGTATGTCAGAAATGTATTCCATAAAAGTTGTTTTATTTACTCCATGAGCTTGAAGTCTTCTTTCCACAGGCATATAATATATTACTTATTATGAAGCCTAAAACCAGTTGGTGGTTCCCTCTAGAGTAGACCCGCTGAATTAAAATGCTGAATGATGAGCCAAACTGCATATTTATGAAACAGATTTAATTAATCTACTCTAGCTGGGGCTACCAAATGAATTCTGGCCAAAATTTTGTTAAAGAACTGAAATATAACTACATTGACATACTGTATTTTCAAACAATGACAACATTCTGAAATAGGAAGCTAGATGCTTCCACCAATTGATTTGAGCATTTTTCACTCCACGAGGTTAATACATCTACACTTACACAAAATAAGACAGCTGGTTTAACTGGCCACTTATGTGCAACCTCTTCCCAACACAGCCTTTCTCCAAGATCTGTGCTTCTATACCTGGATTCATAACTAGGCTAAATTACTTAGAGTGGAGCTGCCATTTAAATTTACACTCTGATGAAGCATAATTATACAATAAATTGTGTGGTAAGTATCCTGCACAAGATACATTTAAATTTTACTGCAGCTCAGGGTATGAGAAACACTCAGAATCCTAACTATATATAAAGAACAACAGAATAGCTCTACATCAAACTTCATATACAGAATTAACAGGAAAGTGAAGAATGTCTAATTCTAACTAATTCTATATCCCTTCTACTACCACTCCGTCTATGCAAAGATGCATATGGGTCAGAGTGCCATGTGGCTGTAGAGTGTACATCTCCAGTGGTCTCTGTATACTTTGATTCTGCACTGAATCCATCAAACCAAAAACAGGCTTAGCTCTTGTGTCATCATCGCTATTGCACCCATTCCCAATGAATCTAAGATATTGTGGTGGGGGAAGAATTAATTCATAAACAGACCTTTCAAAGGACTAGGGAACTACAGAACTGCACTAATAAAAATGCATGACATGCTTCACTAATCTCTAAGTATAAAAACTAATCTTATTTTGTTGACCCTAAGTAACATTTCATCAACCTCAGCCTTATATCTGAATACAATATTGAGTAATTTAGTTTTGTAAAAAAAATAAAAGCACTTCACAAAGAGCTGTATACTGTGTTTCCTTAAATGCTGATCTGCAAAGCACCACATCAAAGGGAAAAAAAAAATCAAAAACTAACTCTCAGTGGGACTGAGGCACCGTGCAAATAGCTCACTGTGCAGATAAATATGGATTGTGTTTTTTAACCAGCAAGTCAGATACTCCATCTCTGAACGTTCCTCCATAAAAAAAACCCTCCCTACTGTAAGTAGCCTGCTTATTTGTTTGTTTGTTTGTTTAGTAACTATATTTTTATGCCACACCATTTAGTGGCCTTTCCACTACTCTGGGTGGTTTCCAGCAGTTTAAAATAAACAGCCAACTCCACAGGTAGAGCATTACGTAAAGAGGCAGCCATCACAGAGGAGGCCCTCACTCGTGGTTGCAGACTTTCTGGCCTCTTTTGGGGTGGCCACCCATAGCATCAACGCCTGGGAGACGTGAGTGGCATTGGATATTGATCTTAGAGAAAGGTGATCCAATAGGTTGTGAGGTCCCAAGTTTATGGCTTTATAGGTCAATGTTGATAGACTGTCTTCCTTGACATGCTGGTTTTCTATGTATAGTAATCTTTTCAAAGGACATAACATGTACCCTGTGGTAATATAAGCATGTATAATGCCAACCTAACATCTGAAGTGATGCAGTCCAGAAACAGGATTCAAAGTCTGAGGACCTACTGGCTCAGACCAGTTCATAGAAATGTTTAAGGATACATTTGCAGTTGAGAATAAGAGTAAGTATAACAGATTTAATAAGTCTCAAAATGAAATATAGCATACAATTAGTTACTATTATAAGACTACAGATATATGTGGGATAGGAAGCAACAGTTAGAACTGGATATGGAAAAACTGTTTGGTTCAAAATTGGGAAACGAGTACTACAAGGCTGTTTATTGTCTTCCTGCTTATTTAACTTATATGCAGAATACTTCATGCGAAAGGCTGGACTGGATGAATCCCAAACCGGAATTAAGATTGCTGGAATATCAACAACCTCAGATATGCAGATGATATCACACTGGTGGCAGAAAGTGAGGAGGAATTAAAGAACCTCTTTATGAGGGTGAAAGAGGAGAGCACCAAAAAATGGTCCGAAGCTCAACATAAAAAAAAAAAACCTAAGATCATGGCCTCTGGTCCCATCACCTCCTGGCAAATAGAAGGGGAAGTTATGGAGGCAGTGACAGATTTTAGCTTCATGGGCTCCATGATCACTGCAGATGGTGACAGCAGCCACGAAATTAAAAGAGCCTGCTTCTTGGGAGGAAAGCGATGACAAACCTAGACAGCATTTTAAAAAGCAGGGACGTCACCTTGGCCACAAAGGTCTGCATAGTCAAAGCTATGGTTGTTCCAGTAGCGATGTATGGAAGTGAGAGCTGGACCATAAAGAAGGCTGACCGCAAAAGAATTGATGCTTTTGAATTGTGATGCTGGAGGAGACTCTTGAGAGTCCCCTGGACTGCAAGGAGAACAAACCTATCAATTCTGAAGGAAATCAACCCTGAGTGCTCACTGGAAGGACAGATCCTGAAGCTGAGGCTCCAATACTTTGGCCATCTCATAAGAAGAGAAGACTCCATGGAAAAGACACTTGGGAAAGTGTGAAGGCAAGAGGAGAAGGAGACGACAGAGGACAAGATGGCTTGACAGTGTCATCGAAGCTACCAACATGAATTTGACCCAACTCTGGGAGGCAGTGGAAGACAGGGAGGTCTGGCGTGCTCTGGTCCATGGGGTCACGAAGAGTCGAACACGACTTAACAGCTAAACAACAACAAAACAGATATATTATACACATTACCTTTTATTGCACCCACAATATTTTGGTCTAGTCCTTTTCGGTTATCATTGAGACCTCTTTTCCTCTTGCCATTGGGTAATGAATTGGCCAAGGTCTTGTCATCAAAAAATGCACACACCAACTTTCGAAACAGCAGGCTTCCTGAGCGAGTGTAATTGGCTAATATGGAGTCCAGTTGTGATTTAGGCATAACAACATCAAAGCCTTCTGCAAGTTGCACTTCTGGCTATCAAAAGAATATGAATATGTTATTAGCAGTTACTTCATAACATTTTTTTCCAAAAAAATAATGTCAGTGAGTACCCAGCCATTCACAGAAACATATACAGTGTTTCCTCGACAATAAGACAGGATCTTGTATTAATTTTTGCTCCAAAAATGCATTACTTTCAGGGGATGCTTTGTTTTACAGTCATGTCTTCTTCTGGTTGCTGAACAATGCTTCATAATGGTAGAGGGCAGGGTTTCACTTAACTGGGGTTTATTTTTGGGGGTAGGGCTTATATTACGAGCATCCTGAAAAATCATACTAGGGCTTATTTTCAGGTTAGGTCTTATTTTTAGGAAACAGGGTATATACATGAGGTCTTCCTGGCCCCACAACAGACTTCTGTTTCTCTGAAACAGTAGTTGTCAACAAGTATAACAAGATTCAGTATAAATATATATTACATCAATTACTGGCCCATTCATCATTATAATTACTAAAATTAATTAATAGAGCTGGAACAATCCCAGGCAGCTGGTTACTTGGACACCTATACAATTCCATATTCGCAATTACAACTTGGAAATATTTATTTAGTCCTGCACAGGACTGGTTCACTAACATATGATACTGCTTATTAGGAATTTGAAATCTGAATTATTATGGCTGCAATCTTACATTCCGTGACATATTTGAATCTCCCTGTATTTATATGTAAGCCAGGATTTTAAAAGCTATATATAAAAATCCAAGGCTAAAATTATATATACATTTTTCTAGAGATAAACTTGGGTGGATATGTTTTCAGGAGATAAACAAAAGATGTGCGCTGAAAGTAACATTTGAAAAAGCAATGTAAGAGCACAAGCAGCATTACCTTTTTGCATGAACTTATACACCACATAGCCATCTGTCAATGTATTATGAAATTTCCCTGCCAATGGGAAAGTTCATAATCAACACACAAAACCAACAGTGTTCCTTGTTACCGATTCACTGCATTAACAATCACAGGCTGGGAACATGGAGGTTCCACTTAACCATAATGAGTAATACTAATCAACAGACCAAAAAGCTGTGAAATTGACTGATCCAGATCTTGATGAAAGTTACTTTTTAAAGGCTACATTTCTTAGAAGGTAAAGAAAAAAAATGAATGTTCATTTCCACATTCATCACTACAAACTGGTAACCAACACTGAACAATTTTTTCCTGTTTTAAAAGTTTAAAAAAGCAAGTAAATAGATCTCCAAACAATGCTGAGGTTGCCAAAATGGAATATCCTATGTTTTAAGTAAAGGAAATATTGCATGTTTCAGACTATGCTTATTCTTTTTGAACAAGTTACAGTTTTCTTAACTGCCCAGAGTAGACCTTGGTTTAGATGGGCGGGATAGAATCAAACAAACAAACAAACAAACAAACAAACAAACAAACAAACAAACAAACAAACACACACACACACACACACACACACACACACACACACACACACACACACACACAATAGTGTAAAGCCATGCTACTGGAACTGGTGATAGAAGCCCAATGCCAATCCATGCCTCATACAGAGACCTAACAGGGATTTATGTGAAATCTCTGTATATTTTGATATGTGACCTACTAGTATATTAGAAGAGTCGGACATGACTTAGCAACTAAACAACAAAGTATATTAGATCAGGAAGAGCACTTCTATTTGTCTCAAAATGTATCTGTCCATTCTGTCACTCATTCACATTCCTGTGTCAACATCCTTTATTCACAATATATTTACAAGGAAAACTGACTTCATATTTTCATGTGTTTTGCTTAGCCTTCTAAAATTTATTGCTAAACAGAATTCTTGGCCAAACCCACTTCAAAAGTGGTAGTTCACTAACATAGCCATATAGTTTTCTAAATGTATCACCGCCACTGCTGGTCTCAAGACTTGCAGGTCGGTTTAAACCAGACACCATTATCCCAGTTTTATTCAAAAGGATTGCTCCCTTCAGGCTTCTGCCTATATAATCCTTTCCCTAATCTTCCTCCTTTTTTGTTGTCTTCCCTCAGTCAACCTGTCACCTGATGCATTTCAGACCTCCTGAAGACAGGTTTCTTTCTCATTAGAAAATTCAGACTACCTGTGAAGACAACAGCACATACTTTGCTTGCGGAAATTCTTCTCGTGTATTATATACAAATGGTTTAAGGGAGCGATCCTCCCATTGCCACCTGATCTCTATCAATACAAGGTGTGCCTTCTCTTTCTACAGCTACTGATAATATATGCACCATGTGTCTTTAAGCAGCAAAACAAATTGTCTTTCCATGCAGACATAGCTCACAGAAGTGGATTTGAAATTTTTCAATAATTGGTTAGGAGGCTATACTTCAATCCACCCATCAACAACCACATGCCTTGACTAAGGTAGGCTATATCTTAATCTTCTTCTCAATAGACATATGACCCAACTGAGGTAATTTGTAAGCATGTCTTTCACTGTTTAAGGAAATGGGAGTACACTTTTCCCTTGAACTGCACAGGCTTGAGCAGCATGTTTTTTTTCAATACACAAATATTCCAATAAATAACTGAATGAATATTTTAATAAATAAAGAAATAATAAATGTAATGCTGAAAATCATCTCCAGGGAGTGGCCTAAGAAAGATGGGTATTAGTTGGTGGTGAGGCAGCCCCCCTGTCCAATGGTGGCAACTCAACTAGACCCCTCCCCTGGCATAGTGACTCCACATGGTGGCTGGGGAGGATGCTGGGGCATACTGTACAGTTAATACAATAAACCCATCTGTTCTGTATGTTTGTATGAGAGAGGATACTGTTTATGCTTTATAGTTAAGTTTTGGGAGGCATAATAGTTACACCTGGATCTTGAACTGCATAGGGATCCAGCACCCCTAACCTCAGCATTGTTGAATGGAGAAATGCAGTTACTCCCATTTTCATATTGCCTTATTTATAGAGCTTGGAGTAAGTAACTGTGGTTTAACACACAAGGGCCAGAATCCTAGTAAAGTTTACATAATGTTAGCAGATGTTCACGTAACTTGCTATGGCTAATCATGGCCAACCGACATGATGTTCAAGCATGTCTTGATCATGTCCTGGTAATGTTCCCCACAGCACAACCAAGATGTGTTTCCTTCACGCCTTGTCAATTACCTGCTGCAAGTTATGCAAAACTTAGGTGAACATCAACTATTCAAACTAAAACTACAACAAAATAAAAGATTAAATTAAAACAGATTCTAGCTAAAGAATATCCCTCCTGCATATGCTATGTCACTATGCCTAGGTTATTTACTCAGACTGTAATGGAAACACTCTGATGAGTGTAGTTTTTCATTATAAAGAAAACTATGCCAAGAGCTTGTCAGGAGACAAGGTCCTATGGTCAACAACAGAGGTGGTAGAGCTGAGAATAAAAAATTCATTTTCTCATAGCAGATCTCTATCCACTCTCAGCCTTTTTTTTTGCACTTAACAATAAAAATAGAGGCATTGATTGATGTGGATGAGAAATTGCTTTCTGTGTACAGCTGTGAATTTTCCCTCTCTCACTGATTGATATTACCTATGCATAATTAAAGGATATGCTCTGTAATGACTGGCACAAAGTAAAACTTTCCAGTGATCAGCCTATCACACGATAATAGCGATAATCATGGGAACAATATGATATTGAACCTATCTATTAAAAAACCAGTGTTCTTGTACTACAGAAGACAGATATATGTTTGTACAATAAGAGCTCTTCACAGGCAATCCATGCCCTCAATTAGAGATCCAATTAATGTTATTTGTAGGTTTGTGTGTGTGCATTTTATAAATGAATCAGTCTGTACGCCAGTCACATAATTTGAAAATAAAATGCTGATTTATTCCAAATTCCTTCAGTAGTGAATTATTCTTCAATTGCAAGCAATCAGTATCCAATTGAGTTTCACAGGGACATCTCCAAGTATGATTTATAGCCAAATAGAGTTTGCTAACATAAAATAATCAAGGCAATGGTGTACATAATTAACACAAATGAGAGAACTGCCAAAACTTTTAAATGCTAAAATTAGGAAGCAGCAAATTACATTTTATTCTAGGCATTTGGGATTAAAATAGATCTCCTTTTCCAATTCTATATAAGTTACTTTATTTATATATAAACAAACATTTACTTCTAGGAAACATAATACACTTGTAGATTCCTGATCACAAAGGACAAATCCTATTATGCTAGATCCCTATGCAGAGGTTGTTGTTATGCGCCATCGAGTCATTTTATGGCAACCCTATGAATGAGTGACCTCCAATATGTCCTGTCCTTAGTAGTCCTGCTCAGCTCTTTTAACCTCAAGTGTCTGGGTTTCTTTAGGGAGTCAATCCATCTCAAATTTGATCTTCCTTTTTTCCTTCTTATGTTCAATCTTCCCCAGCTTTATTTTTTTTTTACATACTGCCCTAATGCTGCAAGCACTGCTCTGGGCATTTTACAAGTTAAAACTTAAAAATCCCACGTACCCCACATAACAGTACAACAACAATATAGCAATTTTGAAAAAAAAAACTGTACAAAAAAGAAAAGAACAAGAAAAGAAAAGAAAAAATATTAATGTTAATCGCATCTGGGAGATTCACTCCATTAAAAGCAGCTTTCAATATTTCAGTTTTTAACAATTTCCTGAATGTAAGAAGGGAAAGAGCCTGTCATCTCTCTGTTGGTAACCTGTTCCAGAGATTGGGGGCCACGATTGAGAAAGACTGATTCCATATCTTGGCTTTTCTGGGCCCCCTGAATGTGGTCATTTTAACAACACAGATTGAGAGGAGTGGGTGAAACGGGTAGCTGATTTCTGAGATAGACTTTCCAGCAAGTATCAAGATCCTAAACTGTTAAGGGCTTTATAAGTCATAACCAGCACAGTGAAATGAGCACAGAATTTATTTTATTTTATTTTAATTCGTGTCCCATGCCCATTAGTGTCACAGCACTACAGTGGGGTCTTGACTTGAGAACT